AAAAAAAAAAAAAAAAAAAAAAAACGCTAATAATATGCGCGCGTACGGGGTCGGCGGCGGCGGCGGCGGCCCGCGGGATTTACGAGTGCGATCGAGTGTTAATACGTTTTTACACGTATCTCCGCGTATTATATTATAATGTATACCGGGGCCGCGGTACCGTGTAGTGAGCACGACGTTACCCGTATGATAATTCCGTATTTATTTATTTATTTCCCCGACCTCCCCTCCCCCGCCGCCGCCGCCGCCGTTCTTCCGCGCTCGCGATAATACACGCGGCGCGCGGTACACGCACCGCGGGCGCGCGTACGTTTAATTTAATTGATCGCCAACGTGCGCGCCGCGATCACGTCAATTATAATATATTATCGTGCGGTACAAGCGGTACCCCTGGTAGCCAGGTAGCGGCCGTAGCGAGCGCGCGGCTATCGCATCGGCGGGGTCCGGTTGTTCGAACAATCAGCGCGGGCGCGCGGACGAGACGACGGGGCGAGCGCGCCGACCGTGGTCGCGGCCGTCGTCGCGGTCGCCGCCGTCAATAAGAAAGAACGTCACGCGAAAACGCCGTACTATTATAATAATACATTATTATATTACAATGTGTATACAGGGCGATTATTTATGACCGCGTGGCGAACCGGCGACGGCGACGCGGACAGACTCATTCCGCCGCACTCGGGAGGCGGCGAATCCCGCGGTAAAACCGTCCGGGCGGCCGGAATTTACGCGTGTACCGCAGTATACCGCGGTGCCGAAATTACGCCGGAATCGAACATTACCCGCGCGCGGAATCTCCGGCGCTATCGATGATCCAAGTGTCCAGTGGCGTGCACGCCGGAGGGGGGGGGTGGTTGGGAGGGATTTAGGGGTTTTATCCCCATCCTCATCGGTTTAGAATACGAACGAAATATGAGTAATCTAGTGTCAAAATGCATACATTTCAGCAGAGTTACGAGGAGAAACTTTTTTTCAACTTTTATTTTAAGGCGTACAATCTGTAAATTAATTATTACAACAAGTATGCATGCGGAAATATATAAAATAGCTTGACAAAGATACGCGATAAAAACAGCCACCCAATGGTGACACTTTATTATATGATTAAATTAAATTAAAATTTAGGTTAATTGTAATTCACCTTTAAATATTTAGTTACGTGATATTCAGGTCTCTACACCACTTTCTCTTGAATCGACGAGGGGGGTTCCCCTGAACGGAGTCGGAATCTAGAGCAAAGATTAGTGGATCGGAGTGGTTTTTTAGTCGGGAGCGGAAACGTTTATAAAGGATTTTGGCAGTTTCTTCTACTCTATTAATTTTTAAATCTGTATGAAGGGTGTGATTAGAAGAAACATAAAAAGGGGCATTTGTGATTATGCGGAGGGTTGTGGATTGGAAAGTTTGAATTTTATTTGTGTTTGATTTTTTGGCAGCGCCCCATAACTGTATCCCGTACGTCCAAATGGGCATTAATAAAGTTTTATATAGAAGTAATTTTTTTTTTGTATTAAGTTTAGAGTATTTACCGAGTAAGAATTGTAGTGATTTACGTCTAGAGTTTAGGAGGATTTTTTTCTTTTTTATGCGGTCTGCCCAGGTTAATCTTTAATCTAGAAACAAGCCCAAATAACGAGAGCTCGAGGATTTTGGAAAATTTTGATTGTTTAAATTTATAGGTGATGCAGTTCCACGTTTCAATGTAAAAGTTAGACGGGAAGATTTTTCGCGATTTATTTTTATTTTCCACTTGTCTTACCAGGAGGAAAAACTTGATGTGTATATTGATTATAAATTGGCCTTTTTTAGGATCCGGCTTTCAAACTACCAATTCCCGCAGTCAATTCGGGTAGAAAATATTAATTTACGATTTATTCGTGATTCTTATTTATTACATTCCCTTCCATTGACAACTCCCGGGCACGCCACTGAAAGTATCAACGCCCTGTATACATATATATATATTATATTACGTTGCGGTATAATAAAATAAACAACGTCCGCGTTGTCGTCGGTACACGGCTCCTGTCGTCCCGAATACCCTCTCCTCTATATTATAATCGCGTTATCTTTGACGTCGGGTTTCTGTCCGCGCACGTTAATGCGGACCGAGTGAGTACATTATAAAAGGCCAATACATAGCCGAGCGACCGGTGCAGGGCTACGAATACCGGGTGATCCATTTGTGAGTGGGTACACTCAATATCTCGGAAAGTATTCACATTTTTCGCAATTTGTTTTC